GTCACAAGTGAACCCCCTTTCTGTTTTCATTTCCGACACAGTCTCATCCAAGCACGCCTTCCAGCAGCTTCAGTTCTTGGATGTGGGATGCTTGAGACGCCTGAAAAGCGCGAAGCCGAAGTGCTGAGAGGGTTGCACAAACATCCAAAATTTCTCATTTTTTGGTGATTGTCTTCCGTCACCTGGCATGCAAATCCCTTGCGCTGGCCAATGAAATCTACACTTTCTAGCCGCGAAGCGCGGCAAACGATGGGTATGAAACCTGTATTTAGCATCCAGCTGTACAAATGCCTAAACCTGTATGAGCTTCTTTATATTATGTGAAATACAGTTCACGCTTCTCCCATGTATGGGTATTGTCTCTTAAAAGGGTACCCAGCAACCTAGGCTTCAACCTCAGGGTCGCCCCCCAGCAAATCTCTTGAGCAAGTTGAGGCTGAGGGTTTAGAGTTTAAGGGGTTTAGGGGTTTAGAGTCTAGGGGGTTTAGGGTTTGGAGTTCAAGGGGTTTAGGGGTTTGGGGTCTAGGAGGTGTAGGGTTTAGGGTTTTCGGTTTAGGGGTTTAGGCGTTAAAGTTGCAATCCCTTGTGGGGTATCCTGACTATTCGCGGCCGTTTATTGTAGGGACTCAAAAAAGGACCACAATTTTTGACAACCTGCCAACTAGGAATAACCAAGCCGCGCCCGTGAAGCAGCGCCCATTTGCAGAAAGTGAAGGGCGTTCGAATTCGTGTGGGCGTCGCCTGGGACTTGCGCGGTCTAGGGTTTAGGGTTTGGGGTTTACTTGTGACTCTATTTACTTACCTACAGCTTAGGAGCAATTACCCCCTGATTGGTAACTAGAACCCGTAAGGCTGAAGGTAAGAGGAGCCACAGGTAGGGTTCAGGGCTTGGGGAACTAAGCTCAATCCGCCAATCCCTATCCATATGCATGAATATCTGAAGCCCAAGCCTGACCCACAATACTTGAAATCTCAGGCCTCCTTCATGCATATGCCTGCCAAAACCCTAATTGTACATATGTCTTCTGGATGCTTCCTTCTAACAAACGACCCTGAATCGCATGCAACTAGCCAGCCAAACCAAACAAGTTCAAGGCCTAAACTTACAAGCAATGTTGGGACTATCACCCATCATTTGGGTGGGAGCATTGACAAACTTGCTGAGATAGACGCTTTTGGATTCTCGTCTAAGAGTCTAAGGACATCCCCGACGACCCCCCAAATAGGACAAACGTCAAAACCCTAAGCCCAAACCCTAGACCGCCTCTAAGAACGGAAAACTCACAACCCCCAACCCTAAACCTTGAAACCCCCAAACCCGTAAACAGTCCTCTAGGAAAAGACTTTCACTCACAAAAATACTGACCAAGTAGCCTAAAAGGTCGCAGCGTTCCAGAGCAGTGGCACGGGCAGCTGACGGAAGGCACCATATTAGCAGAAGAGTGCCAATGGCCATAGCATCCAGTGGGTGTACGGATGAAGGCTTAGGGTTTTAGTGTTCAGTCCTTAGGGTTTATAGAGCTTATGGTTCAGGCTTTAGGGTTTTGGGTTGAGGTTTTAGAGTGTCGATACTTTTAGGCCTTGGGTTTAGGGTTGCAAGTTGGGGCTTGCCTTGGTTTCTTGAGTCTGGGCTTTAGGCTTTAGGGTGCTGGTTTCAAGGTCCGCGGTCTAAGGAGGACTGCGGGAAGTGAGAGGCCATGTCTTCAGGATTGCTTAGCAATAGTACTGCAAGAAAAGTGAAAATAAGAAAAAGCAATAATAGCAGTAGTGGTACAAACAGTAATGGCAACAATAGATCATAATGGTAATGCTACTACTGATAAGTACCTGAGATCTGGGCACCTGGGGTTCAGGGGAAGCGCGAACCCTGGGGGAACGGTTCGGGAAACCCCCGGAAGGGGCTTAAACTGCGAGCCAGGAGACAACATTCAGCATTATGAGCTATAGTCTAAACTCTACTGCAGGATCCCCTTTAATAGCCCCTATTTAATGCCCTATATAACCCCTTTGAGGAGTTTAGACTATAGCTCATATCTTAAGGTAATGTTTTTAGGGACGCCGGGCCACTTTCAGGGATCCCCCTTCAAACTCAAGTGCCTCAACGGGAACTACTTTAAAAAAGCTATGGCGGGGATCCTTTCAGTTCGGGATACCTTGGCGAAGTCCTTTGTGGTATCAACTTTTGAGATTCTGCAAGGTGGTCCACCTCTCGACGGCCTCGCACTATCCGCAATGAGCGGGCGTGTACTCAACACCCTACACCCTGGAACCCTGAACCCTAAATCCTGAGCCCTAAAACCTTAAACCCTAAACCCTAAATCCTATTCGTGACCTTGCCTAAGCCCAAGAAGTTGAAGGCTCAGTTCAAGGCCTTCAGGTTGATAATTAGGGTTTAGGGTTTAGGGGTTTAGGGCTTAGGGAAGAAAGTTCAACAATATGAGGGTGTGATTAGGGTTGAGGGTCGCGGGAGATCTGCAAGGCTGGAGAGGTTTGGGGCATGAGTTTGTAAAGGATGCCAGGTGTTTACGGGGGCCGTGCGCATGACTCATACACGCGCTTTGGCGCCAGCGCTCCTTTTTGCCGAAACTCCCGTGCCAGCATAGCGTAGTTAGAAGTATTGCCTAAGTTGGGACGGGCATTGTGTGCAGCATGGTCCGCCCATATATGAGGGTAAAGATGTTTGGTGGTAGTTTCAATCCAATAGGGGAACTGCATACCCCTGCGCCTACCTTGTGAGTAAACACGATCCTTAAAATCTACCTGAAATACAACAGAATGTAAAGGATCGTCGCTGTTTGTGGCAAACACCTCTACTAGCATGTTATGTTGAGATTGTAGGATGGATTGTGCGGGTAGCTTGGGTTGATTAGCGAGGCGGTAAGCTTCCTGGTTTGAGACCCTGGAGCAATAGGATCCCTAAACCCTAAAAATTCGTCGTAGGAACTTGTGATAGAAACCGTCGATTTCTCTTGAGCTGCGGAGTGGTCAGTGCTAGCGAATCTAATCCGTAAACTAGGGTAGATAGAAAGAAAGATCCCTTGAAATACTTTGAGCTTCTCTCTAGGATGCCAGGTTTAGGGTTTAGGGTTTTAGGGTTTTCGGGGATTTAGGGTTTAGGGATATGCCGCGCCACTATATATTTTTGCTCCGCACAGAGCGCTGGTTAGGCGCTGATTCGTTGAGCATGTAAGATGCCAAGAACGCCAGCATTTCCTAAACTTTCCCGTTCTGTTTTAATAAGCTTTCCACAATTGGGGGACTATAGTATACTGGGGTCTACCCTAAACCCTTAAAACTGAACCCTAAACCCTAACCTTAAAAACTTAAAGCCTAAACCCCAAACCCCAAAGCCGAGCCCGCATTGGGTACTTGCAATTTGGTTTCTACGACCTGAACCCAAAAGTATGTGTGCTAAGTCTAACATCCTTGTGGCGGGAGGGGGGGGGGTGGGCTCGGATCACTGCCTTACCTACTTTAAGCCCTGGATGTTGCAAACTTCAGGAGCACAGGTGACTTAAACAGACAGCCAGTGGGCATGCAGCAAAACATCAAATAACAGGAGCAAGCAACAACTAATCATATCATCCCCATCCGGTGCTGGATTCCTTAGCAGCCATAACACATACCTGGCTCCTACGGCTGAACTACTTCCGAAGCCGAAGCAATCACACTGAAGCAGAGAAGCATGTGTAACGTTGTGCAATCCAGTCCTGGAAAGCGGAATCAGTCGTAGAATCTGGCGCTGCCTCCAGCATTGAGAACATTCCAAAGCTTTCTTGGTTTTACATGTGTGTAACAACCGCAACCCTCGCCAAAGGAGGGACAGGGTGCAATCCTTGAGGTATTTCGGGCTCAAAGAGCAGGCAGCCAAAGCAACACACCGTTCCATTGCCAACCATAATGCTGAACTTCAGCCAATCCCGCCAATCCCTGGAAATAACAGGAAACAGCTGCTCATCAAACATCCATTCCTAAATCACATGCTGCGCAGCTACTTTCAGGAGACCTTCACAGGAAACCACTGCTTCAGAAATAACTTGCTTTGAGCAAACTTGTGGTATATCTCTATTCCTAGGTTCAGGTTTAAGTGTTTCAAGGCCTCTACCAGGGACATCTCATGATCAAAAGGGACCTATCAGGTATCAGCACTCGCTGTGTGATGTATGCAAGGCTTATGCTAACACTGTGTCTGTTCCCAGTATCTATTCTCTTTAGGACCCAAAGAGCATCATACAAACAATGCCATGCAGTTCTCTTTATTTAACCCCCATTCTAGATCATCCCTAACTCGTTGGGCTTGCAAGTAGCATAAACCTTCCGAAGCAGGTTGTTCCTCAACCCTCCAAACTGAAGATTTGTGCGTTCCAAAGTATGAAACATTACTTAGCCCACATTACCCTGGATGAAAAAGTATCCTTTTTCAGAGGTAAAGAGAATCCCATACCCCAAAGAGTATAAATGATCCCTAACATTGATCCAGATTGGGGTTTTGAGGCGTCAGATCTTAGGCTGTGCTGGAAAGCTGACCCTAATGGGATGGGGGTTGATAGGGTTTATCGGGTTTAGGATTTGTAGGGTTGAGGGTTTATGGGATTTATAGCCTTTATAGGGGTTTATAAGGTTCATAGGGCTGGAGGTCAGCGTGTACGTTCTGCCCTGAACCCATACCGCACCCTCGAAAGGTTTCCTCACAGCAACTGTACGTACTAAATGCCATTCAATCTTCCAAGCCGTAGCAAGATTTCAAAGCAAGGATTTCGGTTAACCCATTATCATATGATTGGATATGATAGGTATAGGGTCCTAGTTTCCAGGGGTCGGGTTGCCAACATTACCTCACTACCGCGGGCATGCTACGCACAGTGCAACCTGTTCCTACTTGATTGCTGTGCTGCTGAGGCACAGCAACAAGTCCCAGATGGATGGGCCCTAGGGATATATAGGGACTGCCCTAGGGTTGAAGGTTAAGGGCTGGCTATGAAAGATTTTCCCAGCTTCCCTGAGGCTTTAAAAGGTTCCAACAGCAACAACACCCCCTTTGACTGCACATCTCGCTTAATGGGACAAGAGAGGGGGTAAGCAGCATTCCCCAAGGGGTCCATGTACCCATTAATTATGTACTTGGGCTTTGGGAAAAATTGTTATAGTATTGGTTTTGGATAAGTATCTTATTATTAGGTACTTGGACCCTAAGGGTTCCAGAATACCCGTACTACATAACTTTCTGCAAGGACCCAAAGCCCTGCCCGCTGCCTACTCCCCTTGACAGATCCTTCTGAACAACATCGTCACCGAATAACCTGCAATCAGAGGCCTCTCATGGAGCCTCTGTTCGTCTTCATCATCTATGGAGATGCCTGAGCTAACAGAGGGTAAACATAGGCTGTTGGCACAAGGCCTGTGAACCTGGCCTCTAAACCATAAACCGTCATATGGTCCCGTATGCAATGATCATATACTTCAGGGTTCTCATACTAGTAATCATCTATACAGGAGTGGCATGTCAGTGACATTTACTTTGGACCGTTAGGGCAGACACTCAAACTTGGCAATAATCTCAGGATGAGGGCCTACCCAGCGGCCCTATTCAGACATCTGATCTAGCTGGGAGCCTACGACTCAGGAATCTAAGGATCAAAGCACAGAGAAGACATGAACTTAACACTTTCAAGTTCCAAGTGCCTGATATCCGAACTTACCCGAACGTGTAAAGTGACTACTATCGCAAAACGCCACGTGCATAGTTCGTGAGTAATAGGCCCTGCACATGTGCGAGCGGCATTTTCAGGGGCCCTGATTCTGCAAGTTGTTTCAGCTACCATAGAAACTCTCATAAGCATTACAAACGCTGTCAACCTTTCGATGGGGCTCTAAACCCATATGTAGTACCATCATTGGGCGACAAGGTCTGTGAATAGTACCTACAGAAAGCTCTAGGCTATATACCCTACAGGAGTGGAATTCAATTCTGTCTCCCTAATTCTCACTGAGGCATGCGGCAAAGGCGAGAAAGGGTTACAATCAGGACAGGCGTGAGAGACCATGTAAGGACTACGGTAATGATCCGTTGCCTCCTTCCCTGCATTTCCCTGCTCACCCCAGGGGTCCATAAAACTGTATAATAGATACTTGGGCCCCAAAGTAGTTGGTTTTCATGACACACTTGATGTCCTAAGTATACTATACATCTATTTGGACCCTTTGGATAAACACCTGGTAGACATTTGAGGGTCTGGTCTGGGCCTGACAACGCCAATCGAATTCCTCAATTTCACGCAGCCTTACAGATTTCTTATCAACACGCAATGCCGCACGATTGTCCGAGGGCTTGTAATTAGAAAAAGTGTTTACCCAGTTACTCAGCACTCTAACTGATCACAATATTCCGTACGCCATTTACGACACAAATCCTAGTGGCTACTTATTGCGGGGAACCATTGCCTAAAATGCCGCGAAGATGTTCAGCCCCCAACTCTACCGGGATCTCACTCGCTGGCTCTTGTGGAAGTGCGGGGCAAACTGTGTGGTACTGAGAAGGACCCTTGGAAGTTGTCGGGGCAACATACTGTCAGTACTAATTAGACCAGGGGCACTAGAAAACAACTCCGAAGATGTATTGATTTGGTGTACTCTTTGAAAGAAAACAGTTTAACTATCGAGAAATGTCCATCTTTTACTGGGCGCTGTAAACTCTGAACACCCTACAGCAGAAGCCTCCCAAAAAAGGTACCCACAGCTGGCAGCTGCTTTTGGCTCGGATCGCGACTCCGCAAAACTCCGCGCGGCAAAAAACCATTAAACCCTTCCTCATGCTAACATGGACGCCTCCTCACGCTGTTACATGAGAAGTATATACAAGGTACATAGGGAACGGCAGGGATGTAGATGGCTTAGGGAATACTAGCCTCCCCCAAACCGACATGGGACCCAAAAAGGAACGTGCTTTTAAACGTACAACAGGCTATGTAGGGCAGTTTGGGGCGATAATGCACGTGCTGTTCACCATTAATTTACTTCAAAATCCTCTGCATATTCATCACCTTTCTAGGAAAACCAAGCCCATCTGTTCTTGGTCCAACATGCCACTCGGAATAATGAAGCCCGGCAGGCTACACAACGAAAGCTGGCCTGCTCTTAACATATAGCAAACTCGACCAGGACAATACAGCCTGGGGATTTGGATGCTTCCAGCCATTTACTCTTAACGGTTGAGTGCGGACACCAAGTCCTGTGGCAAATCCCGCGGCCAATGAGGACCATATTTGTGCATAGCGGCCTTGAAGAGTTTAAGGCCGTGGCGATCATTGAATATGGCACGCTTGTTGTCCAACCTCACCACTGCACGCTCCAAGTCGTAGCTCTTGATGCGCCAGTTCCAACAACGAGAGACAAACTTCGAAGCACGAGCTGCATTTTGCCGAGGGATGTTGTTGTGGAAATCACTGTCTGCGGGTTCAACTACGACCCCCCTGTCAAAGTAGTTGCCGTTGATGGGCACAAGGTCAATGGAGCCACAAACATCCTCATCACAGTACCTAACCTTGAGAGCTGTCCGGGCCATCATAGCTTCCACATGCAGGCCATCGTCCTGGGCCCGCATGTTGACGCGCCTTTCAATGTCTCTCATTTGCACACTAGTCACAGGCTCAGCGCTTCTGAACCAACCACCTGGCATTTTGATGTGGTAGTCGTGGTCTGAAAATTGCACAACGTTTGTGCGCTTCCTTGCTGATCCTTGAAGCTCGATGTAGGCCTGCCCGCCCAGTACGTCCCGCACTGCTTTGGTGATGAACTTGACGACTGTTCCTGGCGGCTTATTCCTCGGCACAAGGCTCTGAACAAAGTGCTGAAATTGCCCCTGACTCTCCAGGGCCTTGATGAGACGCGTCTCGTCTCGGCCACCCGAGCTCAACCACTGACTCACTGCCCAAACACCTAGGACCGCAACAGCAATAGGTATCAGTTGAGGAGGCACCGCTTCCATGCCTTGCGTCCGGTGGAGCTGCCGCAAGGGTCTTGAGGAAGGAGGGATAATTGGAACACTTGAGCCGCTCAGCGCTTCAGGCTGATGAAGGGCTTCAACAATCTTACTGAACAGGGATTAGGACTTAAATTGAGAACAAAATGCAAGATGACATGAGAGCTATCAGGACTCAAAGCATTTAGAGTTATCTTGCTGGTGCTCAGCAGGGATTGAAGGACCACGATATACAGACGGTCACCAGGTCCAAGGGATTATACACGACTCCCATGAGAATCTTTGTCTGAATTTCATACTAATCACATGCGGGCCGCCATATAACATCTTTTCATACATGCACTATGTCTGAAATCGCATGTTGATCTTTTTATGATGTACAAGCCCCTGAGACCAGGCGCAAAATGCTTCTATCCTAGACTTACCTACTGCTGAGTATTAGCAGGACATGAGGAAGGGAGAAGACAATGGAAACCTTCCATCGCAGATGATGGGGGATATATATATATATATGTATAGAAGCTACGATGAAGGCAGTATGCCCACTACAAAGTCAATGTTCTGTAGCCATACCTGGCTAAAAACAGAATTGTCGATCGGTTGCAACTACCATGGAGGCCATCTTTCTTGAAACCCTCTACCCGAACGCAACTTGGACCTTTCAGAGCAAATCCCTGGCCTACAAAATTGGTCCACCTAGCTGTTCGCTGCCGGGCAGCGGCTGGCCCAAGCGCCGCAGTCGCCGCGGCGGAAGCCGTTTCCTTATCTAAAAGAAATATGGCCGATGGAGGAAATCTTGCACCATTTAGGACCCTAATTATAGTGCTGTAAGTATGGAGACTATAGAAGGTATTAGGTGGCAAAAGGTTTTCAGGACCTGAGGGATCTACGGGGTGTGAGGTTTTAGGTTGCGGTCTGGAAGCGACTTGAGGACGTGTGTTTAACACTTCAATCAGAGTTCATGATTTGGGATGCAGGGTCGAAGGTTAAGGGTTTAGGTTTTGATCTGTAGGGCTTGGACGTTTGGGATTAGGGTTTTGAAGAGAGGCAACATACAATGAAGTTCACGTAGTCGGGCCCGCACAGATACTTGTTGCCTTTGTCTCCGGGATCGATGGTAGTCCCAAATTGACACGCTCAAGTGGTTAGGGGTTAGGGTTTAGGGCCAAAAGCTTCAAGGTCCTCATAAACCCCAGGCTCTAAGCTGGTGTTTGTGGTGGCTGGGGCTAGGTTTTAGGAAAGAACAACGTCTAATTCCTTATTTGGCCTTGTATAGTTCGAAAAGGCTACAAGCAGAAGAGTCTCTTCAACTAAAACCCTTCGAGGCTCTCGGACCATCCAACACGACGGCCCCCAAAGCAAAAGCGCTCATGAACCTACATGAACCTATAGTCCCCCTTAAGTAGATAGAATATGGGGTATAGGGGGATCTTATTGTAACATACCCAAAGCCATATTCTATCTACTTAAGGGGGACTATAAACGCTAAAGTCGAAAACGTAAACCTGAAACCCTCCTTGTGCAACCGGTAATATCCTAACAGCCACCCCAACCCTTGACCCCCCCCAACCCTAAACCTGGCCTCAGCGTAAGTAGCCAAGCTGCGGAGGTGTCCGAAGATGGCGGAGGGACGGGCAAAGCCTGGCATTTTGGGAGCTCGAAGCTGAGAGGACCTGCCTTTCCAGGACGCTGCAGACCCAAAGGTTCCTGATAGGGTACCATTACAAAAATGTGCATTGATTTACTACTATGGGCTGCTGGCGGTGGCGGTAGTGAAGTACAAGTGGTAGCGTAGTAGCACGGAAGTATCCGCAACAACGAGCATGACCATACACCAACCCCAAACCCTACAAACCCTAACCCTTATGATAAAAAAAAGGACCTGTCACTCCGGAAGTAAGATATGACACTTCAAAATCAGTGGTCCTAGGGACCTCACGGGATGCATAGGGTTTATGAGGGGGATTCTGGCAGTCCTAGTAGGGATTCTGTGGGGCTTTGAGGAATACCCGCATGTATCAACCCTTTCTGCTTCTTGTCTGAGTACTTGCCGACAAGTCAGGATGCAACCAAAGTCAAGACCCCTGAAGGCCTAGTGGTGACTTAATATACCGACAGCTTACTAGTAATTACCCCCCGAGTTAGTAAGTAGAACCCATAAAGCTGTAGGTAAGTGGAGCTGCAGGTAAGCCCCAAAACCTAAAGCCCGCGTCCTAGGCCGAACACCTTGGAATCTCACACGTGCCCTAGGGTTTAGGGTTTAGGGCTTAACATGCACCCAACAAAAATGTTGTTCCGACGCTCCATACTCCTATGACTGAGCGTGCCTCCCTCCATGAGCCCAAAACCCTAAACCCAAAACCCTAAACCCAAAACCCAAAACCCTAGACCCTAGACCCTAAACCCAAAACCCAAAACCCAAAACCCTAAACCCTAAACCACAAAAATTCTCTTGAGACCTACAGTGATCCAATAAATCCGCAAAAACCATCCTCGCAGGCCAAGGCTAATTACCTGAAGTAACCCTAGGGATCCAAATAGCCCAAAGTAGGTAATATTTACAGACTTTAGGGCCCAATGTAGGTATTATTTGTCTACTTGGAGGATCCCTAGGGTAATATCTCATCTAAAACGTGTTTTTGGGATTGAGTGGACTTGTAACTGGGTTTAGAGCTACAGTTAAGGTTGGTTTGTGGTTGCCATAGCCCTCCAAGTACACCCTGAGGTCTCCCGCAAACCCTACAAGACAGGAAGCCGGGGCGCCCAAACGAGAACCCCTCACCCCTAAAACACCGATTTCCAAACTTCCAACCAGCCGAGCCAACACCCCGCTTTAGGGTTTAGGGTTTTGCGTTTAGGGTAGGGTTTAAGGCTACCCTGAACCCTCAAAACCCTAACCGCGAACGTTAGACTCTGCACTCAGATCCTGAAGCAAGAACATCCCTAGCCTTAGAAAAAGCTCAAAGGGTCCACTTGAAGTCACATGTGCTATGTACTCAGAGCCCAAAGGGGTTGCCATATGACTACATTGGGCCGAAGTCTATGCTAGAGATCTACATCTGGTTGCTTCCACAAATAGGTAGCAGAGACTCAAAATGGAGACCTCAAAATGCGATGATGCTTATTATGGGGACCCCAAAGGTGGCACCTCTTCTTTTGGAACCCCTAAACTTTACCCGAAAACCAATATAACCTCTATATAACCCTGTAAAGGTACTACTAATTACCCTAAACCCTCAACTCTAAGTCTTGAATCCTAAACCCTAAATCCTATTACCCAGAAAGAAGGGAAGGCCAGGCACCCCAAACCGCCACTGGGCGCGGGTCTTTGCTGCGGTTCGGGCTGCCGCGATGCAGTGTCCGGAGGTCGCGACTCAGATCTTGTGGCTTGAAACCCTGCTTACTGGGGACTGCCGCCAGGGTTTAGGGTTTAGAGTTCAGGACTTGGGGTTGGCGTTTTCTACGACCCTTTTCAACGTCTGCAGTGACGAAAAGACGGCCCCCGTCAGCCGTGTGGGAAACCCCTGGTCCTGTCATTACGAAGCAGATCAAGGTAGAAGGCAAAACCAACCCCTCAAATCTTTCGGGAGAAGCCGGAAGTCACAATTATACTGCAGCGTACCAACCGCGCAAAATGCAAGACTGCAGTCGCATCACACAAACAGTACCGCACAAAGCCATAATAATCACTTCTCAGATCTGCTCAATGTTGAATGAAGTGTTTGCATCAATTGCCAGCCCCTTTCAAGGCCGGGGCAACTGAAAGGCTACAGGCAACCTACATCCAGTTCATGCAGTAGGCTTGAGAAATATTCACGGCTTAACATGTCAGGTATGTGACGTTTACCGTGTTTTTTCAGCTTTCTGCTCCATAATCTAGTAACACGAATGTTGCGACTTTCCGCATTGTCGATAATCTAGTAAGACTGATGTTTCGACTTCCTGAACTGTGGTTCAGCAACACTACTTTCAGGAAGCTACCTGTGGTTGGACCTGATCTTTTGTGGTCTCGAGATTCATAACGCCTCTAAGCCACATGCTAATCTCGATTCTCCCCACTTGCTAAGTCCCGCTGAACCTCCAACGCTCAACCTGAAATAATGTACGAATTCCCGTATTCTGTCCCACTATGGGAACACTATGAAACTCCAGGGGACAGCACCACGTCGCCGCGAGCGAGAAGCAGACGGCGAAGCCAACGCTTGGCCAGCAGCGTGGGAGCGGCCTTGAGAGAGACCTGCACCAGGGAATGTCTCAGGTAGACCCTTACATACTACACACTCCCAAGCGTGGACTTCTAACCCTGACCTACCCACCCCATGTTTGTCCTAAGACCTTGCACGCTACTCTTTAAACCCTAGCCCCTAACTGGACCCCAAAGTAGGCCTAAAGGGCTGTTCTTCTTTAAGGTTTAGGGTTTCTACACGAAGTATCTATCCCCCACGGACCATCCGACCTCCTGGCTTGCCGGTAGAATTTCCATGGGCCCGTTGTCCTCATGGACATCTACCTGAACATGGGAATTAGGGTTTAGGGCATATAGGGTCTCGGGTCAGGGTTTAGGGGTTTATTTTGGCATCTAGGCTAGGGGTTAGGGCTTTGGGTAAGGTTTAGGGCTTTGGTTTCATGGTCGAGGCTAAAGTTTAATTTGAGGTTTAAGGGTTTCCAAGGACACTAAGCCCCTGATAATGCCTAATAGGAAGGTGGGGGTGGTTCCTTATGGGGGGGGGGGGGAGTGACTATTCTCATGAAGACCCAGAGTTGTAGGGAGGAGGAGCTTCTGCTCTTTTTGGGTTGACGCAAAATGCCCTATGTTTCGATAGCAATTTAGCACCCAAAGTTTGCAGAATCGCGGTTTAGGGTTGTGGGTTTAGGATTTAGATCACCCCTTTTTCTGAAACGCTCTTCGAATTGGCGCTTCTAGTCATGAGCCCGGTTGCAAGTCGACAATTTGTGGAAAACATCCTGCACAATCTAAGTATAGAATACGACCATGACCCCAGGGCTTGGGGTGCATAGGGCCATTCAAGATGTTGCGTAAACCCTAATCACAAAAGAAGCATCCAAAAGCAAGTTTTCTTAGCTGAGCGGCCAGTGGGAAGTTGATGGAGACCAGTGAAAGCGGTTCAGGAGCAAGACCTGACGAAATCCAGAAGGTGATAGTACGGTTTTTCAAGGTAATGTAGGGACATATGCAGATATGCAGAGTTGAGGGATAGTTCGGATTAGAGGTGTCTATGAGGAAATCTATAGGTGTACGTCGGGTTTTGCGGTTGGGGCTGGAGTCGTTTCTCAGAATGGGTACCTTTCCCTAGAAGCCCAGTTACCTATTTATTGGGTTCCTGTCCTTAAGTCCCTATATGATTATATACTATCTGTAACCCAAGGACCTACTATATGGGTATCTGGGCTTCTAGGGTTTGCCAAAGCATAGAGTAAAAGGGGATTCGAGGATTTTGTTTGGAGACCCTCCTGGTACCCTGGGTTGGGGAGATATGACACCTAGTGGTTCTTACTTAGGCACTAATAGAGGTTAGGGTTTAGGGTTTAGGGTTTAGGGTTTAGGTAGGGGGAGGGTCTAGTTAGACATCATTCCGAAAACTATGTTGATTTCCCCCTGCAGCCTAAACCCTCAAACCTTAAACCCTAAAACCCCAAATCCTGAACCCTATAAACCCTAAAGCCCATGCAGGCGCAAGATGTCGATCTGGGTCTTGGCTTAGATTATTGTTCCCTAGCCGGGGGAAATGCATCAAAATAGGAACCGCATATCAGGACCCTCCTTGTGCCCTTAAATAGGGGTATATGGTCCCGAATAAAACGGTCTTGTCCCGAATAGTGGGTGTCTAGGGCATAATAGAGGGTAGATGGAGGGTCTACGTAGGGACCCGCATCAACAGGAGTGCAGGGAAATTTCCAGGTGATTACAGGGTAGAGTACCTGTATGGGCGCACTTCTCAAGTTTCACAGGTATTAGGATGTCCTTAAGGGGTGGTGGTCCAAGGGGGTAGGTAACCTAGTAATCCCCATTATTCCCTTATACTCCCTAAGCTTCCCTAAGAATTCCCCCTTTAGGATCCTATAGAGGTAAGTGGCATTCACCGTAATGGTTGCCATCGACGTCAGCGTAGCCGGTCATTTGCACTCTTTTCCTGCTTGCTTTGAGACTTTCTATTCTCCATTCTCCTGCTGGCGGTATCACCGCTGACGCTGTTCGCACGACAAGTAACCAAGTGCCCTTTCTGGCTTCGAGGAGGTCACTGCCACTTTTTTTGGGGGGGTGTGCTTACCTAGTGGTCTCGGGTTAAGAAAGTTTGAACACGTGTCCGGACATTTGCAGATAATGAAGAACCCTGGATACTGTCTCCAGGAACGTGATCCTCGCATAACCCTGCTGGTATAGAACCCTAGGGTCCAAGGACCCAAATAATAACGATTTAGAGCCCAAATACCATTAATATGATAGTATTTAGGCCCTAAAACCCTATTATTTGGGCCCTTGGACCCTTAGGGGAACTACCAAATTTTGCACGACCAACGCCATTCCAGCTTATTTTGGCCCCTGCGTTGCATTGCGTCTCTGGCCTTTTGGGCACGTGCAAGAAATAATCCCTAAGGGTCCAAGTACCTCATAATCATGT